TAGGGATTAGGGTTTAGGGTTGACTGCTTGCTGACGAGTTGAAAACGCGACCTGCAGGGACCGCACAAATTTAAAGACCATGCGTTGGTGGCTGCTGCATGTCATGCTGTGGATTACTCGGAGTGGGCAGTTGCCGAGATGAGAGGGTTTAGGGTTTAGGGCTAGACATGGGATGTGGGATGAAACTGGGTTTCTGAAAATGTATCGAACGAGTCGAGATGAGCGACATGGATTCCGTGCACGTTGACTGAGATGTGATGAGACCCGCTGGCAGTATAGCTATCGAGGCGACAAAGAATCATTACTGTAATTGCGTATCTCCTAGTCGCGATGGTAGTTACCAGAAAGGTTTGGGTTTAGGGTTTAGGGGTGCAAGGTCCAGGGTTTAGGGATACAAGGGTTCTACAACGGCTCTATAAAGGTTCTACAGTGGTTCTATAACCGTTCAATAAAGAAAGGTGCTATGCGGGTTTGTGCAAGGGTTCGACAATTCAAGATTTGAGGCATCAGCGCTCAAGCCTGAACCTCCCTGTAGGACGATGAGGCCCAGCCATAAACCTTAAACTAAACCCTAAACCGTGAACCTTAAACCAGAAAAAAATAAACCCCTAAACCCCTACACCCTAAACCCCAACCCTAAAACACTCAACACTGAACCCTAAACCCTAAAGCCTTACTCTAAACCTCTAAAGCCTGAACTCTTCGCAACAAGGCCAGAACCGCTCCTTCAGCGTGACCATCGCCAAGGTTTTCAAGCCTTTAGGGTGTTTGCCTTTGGTTCCCTTGTATAGTGTTGTGTAGCTATGTCTGGGCCCTTTACGAAAATGTTGATACTAAATAAACGCCTAAATGATTACCAATATTACTGCTAAGGTTCCTTATTATATGAATACTATGAATTTTGCTTGTAGGGCTTCCCTAAACCCAAAACCCCGAAACCCTTACACCCCTGAAACCCCAAGCCCAGACCGCCAAAAGGATCTAAAAAATAGATCGCCTAATTAGGGACCCTAACTATTAAAGGGTACTTTATAGGAACCCCCTTAGGGGATCTGTT